CCTTCCCTCCCTCCCTTCCTTCCTTCCTCCCTTCCTTCCCTCCTCCCTCCTTCCTTTCGTTCTCTTTCTTTTTTTGGTCCAGTCCTCCCATAACTATAGGCTCCTGACATAGCTTTGTGTGGGTGTGGTTTTCTGCACTTGTATGAAGATGGCACTGCATTGTTTTAGATTTCATTTCTTCCCTTCCTCAGAGTTCTGAGATGTTGAGAAAGGAGAGGTGATGACAGGTGTAGYGGACACTGTGGGTGGCATTGGTGCCCCATCCTGGAGCCTGGGCCAGGACACCCCTGGGACCCCTCCACAGTCTCTGGACTCTCCACAGATTCCAGAACTCCTGGACAGTTCTGAGGACGCTCCAGGGGTCCTAGCTCGTCACTGCCCAGCCTCAGTCCTAGGAAGCAGCCCTGCCTGCTCCCGGTCCTCCCCACAGCCAAGGATTGCCTGGGGCTGGCCCCTTGGATGACAGTGGGTGGCCTTCGGGTGGCCTTCTCCCTCCAGCAGAGCTCCTGGGGTCAGGCTGGCGCAGACCCACCCAGCACTTGTCCGCCCCCCTTTCCTGGCCCTTCCCCTTCCCCTTCCCCTTCCCCTAGAGCTTCGCTGTGTGTCCGGTGTCCAGTCTGGGAGGGCTTCTTCAAGGGGATTTTAGGATTTGCTTTTTCTCGTTCTGTGAAGAACGTTGCTGATATTTTAAGGGAATCACATTGGATCTAGAGATCACTTTGGGTAACGTGCACATTTTAACGATGCAAATCCACCTAGTTCTTGAACACGAGAGGTCTTCCCACTTTTTGTGTCTTTTCGGTTTCTCACATCAGCGTTTTCACATCACTAATTCAGTTTAGTCACAGGAGTTTTATTATTTTTGCAGCTATTATGAATAGAATTGTGTTCTTCACGACTTCTTTTTCAGCAAGTTTATTATTGGTGTATAGAAATTCTTCTGATTTTTGTATGCTGACTTTGTACACTGCGACTTCACTGGATTCATTTGTGAGTTCTGAACATCAGCTGGTGGAGTCTGGTGTTTGTGGATAGAATCCTATCACCTCCTGAGAKCCTCCTCGGTGCCTTTCCTTTCTCTTCCTGATTGCTCTGCTACTGCTTCCTGACAACCTGAGCAGGGTTGGGGGGGTGCCCATCCTTGCTTCCTTCCAGACCTCAGCTTCTCTCCCTTCAGGGTGGTGTTGGCTGTGGGTTTCTCAGACGCGAACTTCATCTTGTGGAGTTATTTATGTTCTTCCCCGAGTAATTTGTTCAGAGTTTTTTTCCTGAAGAGATGTTGAGTTTTATCAAATGCTTCCCTGCATCTATCAAATGATCATGATTTTTGTTCTTCATTCTGTTGATTACACCTATTACATTTATTGTATTGCATTGCATCCCTGGGGGTGGGAGGAACCACTTAAATATGGTAAATTGTGTGTGTGTGTGTGTGTGTGTGTGTGTGTGTGTATGCGTGGGCACGCTTTGATACCGGAAACTTCTCATTCCGTCTAAGGTTTCAAATGTGGGGCTCATGAGGATCCCTAATGCTCCTGATGACCTGACATTGTCTGTGGTTATCAGTCGTGCTCACCTCCATTTCTCATCTCTGATTTTATTTATTTATGTCTTCTCTCTTTGTGTCTTTCTTTGAAAAACAAAACAAAACAAAACAAAACAGTGATGACAAGGGAAGCCCCCAAACACAGCACGTGAATCAGCTCAAGAGAAAACATTTGTGACAGTTGCTAGGTGAACTTTTTTTTTTTCATGGAAGGCTATTTTTAATTTAAATCATGATTATTCAGACTCGGATATTGGTGTACATTTTCTTGYGAATTTAGAAAAGGAACTTCTCAGTTCTAAGGAAACAACTGGCATTTGTTGTCAACGCTTAAAATTCAAGCTTTGAAGAACTGGGGGAATTGTGTATTGACTGTTTCACAATATTCCAATGCTCCAAGATTTCTGATGAGATCCACAGTGATCAATAGGATTTGGAGGGATTGTTATATAATGAAATCACATTTCATATTGGAACTAAGTTTCTTTTTTTTTWAACTAAATTTTCAAACACTACCACTTGTTGACTTTGCACCACATTTTCTTATGTACATAAACAAAAACAACATACCTAGCCAAAGCAATCCCTAGCAAGAAGAGTGAAGCAGGAGGCATCRTAATACCAGACATTAAACTGCACTACAGAGCCACAGTAACAAAAATGGCAGGGAACTGGCACAAAAACAGACACATAGACCAATGGTACAGAAGAGAAGATACAGAGACAAACCCACGTAAATACACTTATCTCATACTAGACAAAGGTGCCAAAAACATTCACTGGACAAAAGATAGCCTATTCAATAAATGGCGCTGGGAAAATCGTAACAAAATGAAATCAAACCCCTGTCTCTCACCCTGCACAAAACTCAACTCAAGGTGATCAAAGACTTAGGCACTAGACCAGAGACCCTGCACCTAATAGAAGAAAAAGCAGGCCCAAATCTTCATCATGCCAGTTTAGGACCTGACTTCCTTAACTAGACTCCTAAAGTGCAAGAAGTGAAATCAAGAACCAATAAATGGGATGGATTTTTWAAAAGTTTCTGCYCAGCAAAGGAAACAATAATGTGAAGACAGAGCCTACAGAATGGGAGAAAATTGTTAACCACGTGCACTTCAGATAGAACATTAATCTCCAGGATATATAAAGAACTCAAAAAACTTAACATCCACAAACCAAATAATTCAATCTGTAAATGGGCTAAGGAACTGAGTAGACACTTCACAGAAGAAGAAATAAACAAGTGATCAATAAACATATGAAAAAAATGTTCATCATCTCTAGAAATTAGAGAAGTGCAAGTCAAAACTACTCTTAAGATTTCATCACACCCCAATCAGAACGGCAATTATCAAGAATATAAACAACAATAAATGTTGGCGAGAATGTGAGGGAAAAGGTACATTCATACACTGCTGGTGGGAATGCAAATTAGGGCAATCATTATGGAAAGCATTACAGTGATTCCTCAGAAAACTTGGCATGGAACCACCACTTGACCAGCTATCCCATTCCTCAATTTATACCCAAAGGACTTAAAATCAGCATATTACAGTGATGCAGCCACATCAATGTATATAGCTGATCAATTCACAATAGCTAAACTATGAAAGGTGCCCTTCAATAGATGAATGGATTTTTAAAATGTGATGTGTTTATATATATATATGATGGAATATTACTCAGGCTTAAAGAAAAAAGACATTATGGCATTTGCCAATAAGTAGATGGAGCTGGAGAATATCATGCTAAGCGAAATAAGTCAATGCCCCCAAACCAAAAGCCGAATGTTTTCTCTGATACACTGATGCTAGTTCACAATAGAGGGAGGCTAGGGACCAATAGATGTACTTCAGATTATGTAAAGGAGAATGAAGGGAGAAGAGGGGTATGGGGGTAGGAAGGACAGTAGAATGAATCTGACATACTATCCTAGGTACATATATGATTACACGACCCGTGTGATTCTACATCATATACAACCAGATGAATGAAAAATTATATATAATATAATTATACATTATTATATACGGTGTATCAAAGTGCATTCCATTGTCATGTATAACCAATTAAAACAAAAATTATTAATATTGTTTAGTAATATTACATACCAAAAACAATAATAAAATTCGCATGTTTGGGTTTGCAAAAACAAAAAACAAAACAAAACAACCCCGATAGATTGATTACAAAAGCAGACCTGGGACTCCTGTCATCTACTATTATCTTGGAGAGAGTTGGTAAACATTTTTAAAATTTTGAAAAATCAGTTATTTTTATTAAGATTCTTATGCAATGGGGTTTTAGAAGTACATTAATTAAAAGCATTTTCAGTTCTAATGTTCAATACAGCAAATACCAATATAAATTCATGCAAACAAAAGGTCCAAGAGTTTTGCAAACTCATTGCAAAGCTAAACGTATGAGGACGGCTGCTGAACGCCAACCCCTAAAACGGAGACCCTAACCCTGGCGCTTTCCTCCTCAGAGTGCAAGAGCTCAGCAGGCACGCGCSCAGCTGAGCGCCCTGGGCGGGAGCTCTGAGTCTCTGGTCTCCCTGGAAACCGCCCGCCGGCCCGCCCCTCGGCGGACCCCGTGCTTTATTCCCCTTGTTCTGATTGGAGCAGGCTGCCGGCGGGGGGTGGGGTGGCACCGCCCCTCGCGCGAGCGCACTGACGTCACGCCGCCGCCGCCGCCCCGCGCCGAGCTGCCGAGTCCCTGGCGGAGCTGAGCCCGGGCCGGTACCGCTGAGGGCGCGGCGGCCTGTGGGGYCCCCGAGGCTGCGGTCGGAGTCCCTGCCGCCCCCCGCAGCCGGCATGGATCTGGTTTTAAACCGGGCGGATTATTCACAGGTAAACCCGAGGGTGGGGCGGGCGCCGTGCGGCGAGCCGGCCCGGAGAGGCTGGGTCCTCAGCCGACGCCGCCGGGTCTTCCCGCCGCGGTTCCCCGAGGGCCCGGCTGGGAGCCTGCGCGTGCCGCCTGGGGCGACGGGGCGCGCCCCGCGGTGCGGTCCTCGGGCTGCTCTGGTGCCCCGCGGTGCGGTCCTCGGGCTGCTCTGGTGTCCCGCGGGGCGTGGGGCGGCGGTGCGGTGCGGTGGTCGGGCTGCCCCCGTGCCTGTGTGTGCGGCCTGGGGAGACGGTGTGCGCCACGCAGTGTGGTCCTTGGGCTGCTCCAGTGTCCCGCGGGGCCTGGGGCGACGGTGCGCCCCCMGCCGTGCCAGAGGTGCTCCCCCAGGACTCGCCCTTGCAGTTCTCCCTGGCTGAAGCTGCCTGTGCACCTCCAACTCCTGCCTCTCAGCTCTACCAGAGCCTTTTACAGGCATTTACTTCTTAGCAGCCATTGTCCACTACCAGCAACGACAGTCTGTCAGTGAGCAGCTAGTTTATTCAGAGAACTTAGCATGTATACTTGACTCTCATAACAGTTTTCAAAGTACGTGATATTATAAATGAGGATTTAGGGTCTCRCCAGCGACCCGCGCTGACAAGATGAGCTGGGTTCAAGGAGCTGGCTGCAACATTAAACTAAGAGAATGGCCAAGAAATCACTCAATACATGGACATGAGTTTCTCACATCGAAGGTGGGATTGCTCTGTGACTTCAGGGTCAGCTTCCACCGTGGATGGCTGGAAAAAGAGAGCATGCACCTGAGACTTCTTATTTTTATAGAGATGACACACAAAGGACTCTTGATAGAATATTCTACCAAATAAAGCAGGGGATGAGGTTTCAAAGGTGGAGTCTTGCTTCATGATGTCTTGTGGTCAGGCAGATTGACATCTTTGCAATTCACACCCATCTCAGGTGCTGTGTGAGATCACAGGCCCAGTGAGAGGAGAGGTGCACTTGCATCCCACAGCCCAATCAGTGTACAATGCCAGACCTGTCCCCTCATATAGCTACAATGTGCATAGCTCATACACACAACCCATGGATGGCTCATGACATCAGGGTAAATAGACTGTTCAATAGCTAAAAATTATGTTGTTATTTGAATAAAAACCTTGCAATCTAGAACTTTCTATTACATCTAGTTTCCTTTCTTCCCAGATTCCTTTCATCATAGAATTGTCTTTTCCAAGTTCCCATCTCCTCCTTTTTAGCCATCCTGTTTTAGCTAATGGTGCAAATATTTGCTTAGTGAGTTTCCCTTGGAGTTTTGCTAAGTATTTCCTACTTTAATATCTTTTTTTAAAACCAGGGAATGATTTCAGGGGAGCTTTACCGCTGAGCCACATCCCCACCCCTTTTTATATTTTTATTTTGATATAGAGTCTCACTCAGCTGCTTAGGGCTTTACTAAGTAGCTGAGGCTGGTCTTGAACTTAGGATCCTCCTGTCTCAGCCTCCTAAGTTGCTGGGATCACAGGTGTGTGCCACTGCCCCCCTCCATCTTCTGTATCTGATTATCACACTTGCTGATTTTATCATAGATATTTCTTGAATTGGTCCCACTTTTCATCATCTCCATCACCTCCTCTCATCTTCCTTGCTAAAGTAATTGAAATTGGCTCTTAACTGGATCTGTACGTTCCAGGTTCACCTTCCTCTAAGYCATTCTTTTGTATCACTTGCTAGAAGGATGTTTTAAAAATGCAAATCTTAACAGATTGCTTTAAACTTTAATACTACTCCCTGAAGTGCACAATGGAATAATTTATGCAAATTCTTTCATGATCTGCTTTTTAAACTTCTCTCCTGTTAGTCCTGTCTCTTCCTCTAGCTTTATCCCTCTATTGACAGATCCCTGCTGAGCAAGTTCTGCTGTCTCCATCTTTCCATTTTTCTCTTTTGTAGAATTATTTACATTTTGGGAAATAATTTTCACCCTCAGTTAGATTGGATGTTATTATCAGCATGTTTGGTCTTTTATTTTATCATTGTTATGTTTGGTACTGGGAATTAAACCTAGGGACACTTTACAACTGGGCTGTTACAGCCTCAGTCCTTTTTATTTTTGTTTTGGGACAGGATCTTGCAAGTTGCAGAGGTTGGCCTCAAGAACTCATGATCCTCCTGCCTCAGCCCCCTGAGTTACTAGGATTGCAGGCATGGACCACCACACCCAGCATGTTTGGTAATTTAGGAGAACTTTTCTATATTATCTTTCAGTAGCTACAATCTATTTCCAAAGATTTTTAGCCATTTTACAAAAATTCTTCAACACTGTATGAAATTAGAAAAGACTTACTAAAAAACATTTTCACGAAACACAGAAATGTCACATAATTGTTTTTGGCTTGGCTACCTTATGGAATAAATTTTAGTATTTTTGATTGTTTCCTACATTCTGACTTTTGTGACCTGTTTTATTAGAAAATATCAGCTGGGCATGATGGTTAACACTTATAATCCCAACTATGTGGGAGGAGGCAGGAGGATCACAAGTTTAAAAYGCTTAGAAAATTTAATAAGAACTTATCTCAAAAAATAAAAAGGGCTGGGGTTATTGCTCAGTGGTAAAATTTCTTTGGGTTCAATCCCCAGTGTGTGGGGAGTTCATTGCTGATTGTGATACTAGGTGTATCAGGAGAGGTGTTGCATCAGAGGAAGGGATGCTCCCCAGGGAGGTCCTCAGCACAGAAGCGGCCACCTCAGCAAGGTGGGTTGTGAAGGGAATTCCCTGAAATTCAGTACTGGACAGTAGAACACCACAGAGGCTCGGAACGTGGGGAACTTCTAACATAATATAAGAAATAATCCATGAGAGACTTGGCCCTGGAGGGAAGGGGCACAGGCAAAGARGGGACAGCGTGATGTGGCCTGGGGGACCCTGGAGATTAGAAAGGGAGCGGAGCTTAATGGACCCAGAGGCAATGGGGCAAGTTCTTGAGTGAAAAGCAATGAAAATCGCTTGGCCCACAGGCTGGTCATTCAGGGGGCGGGGGGAGGGGCGGGACTGGAGTCTGTCCTGGGAACCATCCATAAGCACTGCCCCTTCATAAGCAGATGCCCACGGACAGAGCCAGCACCCAGGGCTAGCTGCTGGGAGCCCCGGCTAGGACTCTGCAACACCTCGCAATGGGGGACATGGTTGGCCCGCACTCCCCCGTCCACCCCACCCTGTGCCGGAGACGGGAAGCTGAGGACCMCTAGAGCCAGCCCGGGCTCCGAGCCACAGCAGCTGTCAGCTAGGTGAGGAACACAGGGACGGTGGACTTACCCCCAGCCCTGAACCCGGAGTTACAGAGCCCAAAATCAGTACCAAGAACGAAACTTCACCTTTGCCAACAGTTTTGGCCGCCTCAGCAGAAACAAGCCCTTGATTTCTCATTAAAGAAATAATGAGGAATATTGTTCTTTTTTCATACCCATATCTCTCATTTTTAATTTTATTCTTTATTCTAATTTTTTAAAAATTTTCAGATATTATTTTTTTTCTATTCTGCAAGACTGTGTATGAGTTTTGTCACTGCATAGATAGGTTCAAATATATGTTTTTTCATATAATTTTACTTCCATTTTCATTGCTTTCTTTTACCCCTGTTTATTATGTGCCTTGTTTTGATGTAGGTGGGGTGTAATTATATGTGGGTTTGAGTTGTTTTGATCTTACATTTGTTTATTCCTGATTATTTTTGTCCCTCTTGTTACTCCTTCCTCACTCTCTTTCCCCATTATTAGCCAAATTTTCCTGTTCCTTCTTTCACTCTTTTTATTTTTTAATTACTTTATTTATTATGCTCCTCCTTTATCTGCTATTTCCTGCCTCTCTTCTGTTCACTTCCTAATATTCCAAACTTTTTCTTGCCTTCCTACACTATTTTCTCTTCACCTAAGAAACTGCAGTCCCACTATCTAATAGAATTCTATAGTTTATGTAATTCCTACCCCATTTGTGTTATGATTATAAATATAGTAGACAATATAGCAGACCCCTGCTGTTTAATGTCTGATCTAGTTCATGTTCTTTATTGTTGGTGCTGATGTTCAATGCTGACCCCCTGTAGAAGTGGCAGTTAGTGTCACATGTGTCAACATAAACAGTGGACATTTACCTTAAGGCYGTATCCTATTGCTAACATCAGTGCTGCTTCTGGCTCCCTGCTTCCTCTAAGAGGGGCTGGAAAGTGCTGGGATGCTTCAAATTCACAAAGTAGAGATCCTGTTCTGAGCAATGCTCAYAGCTCAGCCAAGTAACAGCACATCTCACCTCACATGATCTAGCCCCACCTGGGCCTCAGCAAAACTTCAAAACACAGAATTGGAGAAGAAAAATCCCAAACCAATAACCAAACTCCAAAGAGCATCAAAATCCCAGAGAAAAAGTATAAGAAACTGATACAATGTTCAGTGAACTAAAAGAAGATCTAGGAAAGGAATTAAGAGAGCAAATAGAGGAGATGAAAGACTGTTTTGATAAAGAGAGATGCTGGTAGCAAACCAATCAGAACCACTAGAAATGAAAGACACAATGAATCAAATTAAAAATCCACTCAAAAGCATCACCAACAGATTAGATTGCATAGTGAACAGAACTTCAGGCCTTGAAGACAGGGCATATGAACTTGAACACTCAATATGCTGTAAAGGGGAGGGGAAGACCATGATCAGAATACAGAGGAACTCTGGGACAGCATCAAGAGAACAAATCTGAGAGTTGTTGGGACAGAAGAGAACATGGAGATGCAGGGTTAAGGCATTAAGAACATCCTCAATGAGATAGTAACAGAAAAGTTTCCTCATATTAGAAATGGGACATTCACAAATGGGAGGCATATGGGACCCCCAGTAGATAAGAGCCTMTTTAGGACACATCATAATCAAAATGTCTAACAGAAAATAAGAAAACATGTCTGCAAGATAAAAATCTTATGCCACATTTAGAAGCAAACCAATAAGGCTCACTTGT